AGCAAAACACATGACAAACGCACACATCAATTCGTCACCAGCTTTACAGCAAGGTGATGCAGTGATGCATGGGGGGTCTCAGCTGCCATTGGGATGTGCGGGATCCTTTGTGCGTCTCTGTGCCTTTAAGGGGGGTTGGACTTCCTCCTGGCAAACCTGCACCCAATTTTATCTTCTGCCCCATGTGCTCCAAGATGGAGACTCTGATAGTTTAGAGTTAGGACCACGCTATAAGAGGTGCCTTGGCGCGGCTGTACGGCTTTCACATTTTCTGCAGAAGACGTGTATCCAAACCTCTGTTTTTAACCTTAGTGTGAGACAAGTTTTTTTACATGCTAGCTTGTGAGTGTGCCAGGAAAACTTGTTGCTGTTTGAATGTGTCAGACGCCGCAGACGGGAAGGGGTGGGACACGAGCACCGCGGGAGGACAGGACAGCGCATGAGAGAGACTTGGGAAACTGCTGCAGTGGAGGTAAGAAAAGACAGACAGTAGAGAGAACAGAGATAGAAGAGAGACAGCAGAGAAAGTGAGAGAAGAGACCGCAGTGAGAGAGAAGAGAGACAGCCAAGAAAGAGGGCCGGTTCACACCACAAAGTCTGCGTTCCAGAGTGTTCGGCACCTAGAACGCACTGGAACACAAGCAAGCCGGCTCCCTGCATTCAGGGGCGGGAGGGGGCATGGCGGTGCATTGAAGTCAATGGCACTGCAGCCACACCTCCCCCCTGGTCCGCAGTGCGATCACCCGCACCCGGAACACAGGGACATTAGTGCCTGCGTTCCAATCGTTGCAGCATTTTTGCAGATCGCACTGGACCGGAACGCAGGCACTAACGCAGGGCGATCGCACTGCAGGCGGGGGCGTGGCAAAGGAGCGAGCTGTCTGAAAAGATCAGAAAGAAAATTATAGACCGAAATGTCAAAGGTAAAGCCTAAAAGCCCACCTCCAAGCAGCCTGATGTTCCTGGGACTACAGTTGCACATATTAAGAAGTTTAAGGTGCATTGGAGTGTAGCCAACCTCCCTCGACATGGCCACAAGATAAACATTGACCCCAGATTGAACAGAAACAAAGAGCACGCAGTAGGCAAAGATACAAGCTGAACTCCAAGGTAAAAGAACATCAATGTCTCTTTGAGCGACAGCGGGCTTAAAGGAAGAAGACCCAGGAGGACTCCACTGTTAACAAGCTAGATTGGGATTTCCTAATGAGCCAAATAACAAGCCACAATGCCTCTTGGAGAATGTCCTTTGGACAGATTAGACAAAATTGGAGCTTTTTGGCAAGTCACATCAGCTCTATGTTCACAGACAAAAAATGCATCTTCAAAGAAAAGAACACCGTGCCTACAGTGATACATGGAGGAGGCTTGGTTATGTTTTGGGGCTGCTTTGCTACGTCTGGCATAGGTGCCTTGAATCTGTGGAGGTCACAATAAAATCTCAAGACAATCAAGTTCAAGCTCAGTCGCAGGTCGTGGGTGCTTCAACAAGTTAATGACCTAAACACACAGCTACAAGCACCCAAGAATGGCTAAGTATAAAACATTGGACACAATTAAGTCATTCAGTATGTCCTGGATTGTGGAAGCAAGCTCATGGATGCAAAAAGAGAACATACACACACTGTACTCTAGTGAGAACAAATTCCAAGAAACTGCAAGGCCGCATGCATTTAAATATTGTAACAGTTACATTCAAATATTAGGGTATTTATAGGGTATTTAATCCAACATCACAGATTCTCCTAGGAGGCCTACTTTTCCCTGTCAGTACTTTGTATTGTATCTCTTACAATAGTCAGTAGTTCTTTGCACAGAAGCAGAGACTGTAATGTGAGTTAATAGATGTCTGTGACAGATGCTCCCTACAGCCTACTGTACAAGTTCTCTTTTGAGCCAAACAAATCAAAATATCTACAAAATATTGGCCTAATCCTGGATCAAAATATACATGTAATCATTCTGCCATGGAGAGGATACAACATATGTCTCCAACGGGACAACTAGCACCTAGTACTCATGTATATAACATCAGGTGCCCAAAGTTCCATGCTTGCAGATAGAAATCAGCTAACACAGAAGTATTTTTTATGGTAAGCACTGTAATAAAAGTCAGCCATTTACTGCTCATTCCTACCCAAGGCAGTCAGTAGGTGTATATCATCTACTTTTTTTTTATAAAAGCAGTTCTATGCACATTCTCCTCTTCAGGACCAGGCACTGAACAGCAATCAACTAACAAAGCAATACTTAAAGAACAATGCTTTGTCATGTAATTCTGCTGCCCTGCTCCTTACTATGACAAACCAGAGAGAGAGACAGAGACGTAGCTCTATAAAGCATATTTTACAGGAATATTTTGGTCAGAGGCATAAAAAGGCCCTTGGTCAGGTAGGTGTTAACTGTTGCAGCTACTTTGATATCATCAGAGACAGCACAAAAGCTCAATATTAGGCTTGCTCTGCAATTCTATTTCCTCTAAACATGCCTGGTTCTTGATTCTGTCCCTATTTATAACTTCACCTTAGAAGCATTTCAGGTAGCTGTCAGGCTATCAAATGAAAAGTGAAATCCTTGACGTAAAAAAAGCGCAAAGGAAAAAAGGTGCCGACGTAACCGCGTGCAGATTACTATCTTCCCAGTTCCTGCAGAGCCTCACACGTTATAATACAATGTTTTTTTTTTTAAAGTGTCAATTTAGCACTGACTTTATTCAATTATAGAATCATGTCAAGTTCCAGAGACAGAGGAGGTTGATAACTGCTATTGGAAAGAGTTGGAACTTGAATGCAATTATGTTTTACAAGTCTGCTCAACAGTCAGGCTTCCCAGAGGAATATTTAGGCAGATCATTTATCACTTTTGAGGCCCGTTGAGTGTATTGATGATAGCGTTCTCTGGAAAATAATATATTCTTGTTTTCGGTTCAAAGCGTGTATTATTGTTCTAGAACTTTGCAGCTGACTAAGGATAATTTTAAACAGTACAGCTAGTTTTATAGCCACATGATGACACTGTTTTATGGGTATTTTTAACAAAATGAAGAAAAGTGTACAAACAGCGCAAATTAAAGCAACCTATCAAAATGTTTTGTTGCTCTGGCAGATCACAGTAAATAAAAGGGGACATCTGACTGGCTGAAAGGATTTGGTTTTCAATCAACCCTTAAAGTGACACTAAACTCAGGAGTTAAATCTTAAAAATACATTCAAGTACCTTAACTATTAACAAAAATGTATCTTATTTGTGTATCACTTGGCTGTAGATCCTCAAATCATCTCTGAATTGGTGCTGACACTGTGCTTCCTTCTGGAGGGGGGCTACTTTTGTTCCCCATGGTTCCCGTGTGTGTTGTAAAGTAGCCACCGCTCCAAGCTCACTCCTGTGATGGACTACAATCTCAAAACAAATTAGAAAACTAAATGTGAGATTGTAGTCAATCACGGGAGTGAGCTTGGAGTAATGGCTACTTTACAACAGGCAATCTGTTAGTGTATGGCCAGCCTTAGACAGCTGTCCCCACTGAAAGATTTTCCTCCATGTTCAGTCCTAGTGACAGAGGTCACCAGGACAAAGAGAGCTGGTGAATCTACCTAGCAGAACACAGACAGCAATAAAATCTTAACAGAGATTCTAACCCTTCCCTTCTACATGGTAAATTTAAAAAAGGGGTCCTTGCTTTAGATACATTTTAGGGCACTAAATACATGGCATCAACATGGGGTTCTGCCAGACGTCTTGGTAGTGCACTAAGCCGAAACAACTTGGAAAGTATCTGTGGGCATGTGGCTCCTTTCATGAGTGTTTTAAGTTTCTCCATCACCAAGAAGAACAAAAACTTCCACTTGTAATGTTGGGGAGCTCACAGCACTCGCACATGGCTTTTCAATAAACAAAAAGTCTTTATTTTTCTCTTTAGGCAACTCACAGGTGGAAAACACAAATGAAGGATTAACTTCAGCATATCCCATAAAGCAAAGTTAATTTATCTTCAGCAAGAAAGGTATCTTGTCTCACCGACTCAAGATTATCCCGTTCCCTCACTGTCCTAGTCCAGGACGTTACCGTTGGCCTTAGCAAACCACCGCAGAGGTGCTTCATGTTCTTTAGCTGCGTCCAGCAGCTTTCCACACACCCCGTGTGCCTGGATCTCTCAGCCTGTCTAATCCTCCAGCTTTTCCGTATGTGGCTTCACCACACCACCTGGCTTGGCTCTCCTCTGAGCTGTGGTCTGGCTTCCTAAAGAGGCTGCTCTGAGCCACCTGATCAGCCCGGACAGGTTGTTGGCAACACCAGGCTCCAGGATTGGAGATTTCATACCACCCAGAGCTCTAAGAAATCTCCAGAGCTCCAGATCCCAGCTACAATTTGGAAAAAACGGAAGAAACTGAAAGCCAGGTTCTTCCTTATAAAATGTTTAACACTCTGGACCTTCCCAGCCCCTCTGGCTGAGAGTCCTGGGTGGCACAGTTGCCAAACTACACCGTGGCATTGCCTTACACTGCCACAGTAAATAGACACCAAACATGTCAAGCCATAAAATTGCATGTGCCCGCGAAAACACAAAAAACTGCCACACCCAAAATTGGCCATAGGCGATGCGTTAAAAGCATTTACCGCTCATCAGTTTGTGTTAACAGTGATTGGTGGCCCTAAAACTATTGCTTGATCTCTGACGTAAACTGCATATGTATTGACATTTTAATAAAGGATAAGTGTAGTTTTTAGGTGCACTTATCTTTTTTGTCCATTTACCCTATCCCCAGATGCATATTCAACGTAACCGGGGGGCCACCATTGTTTGCAAGAACAGCAGATGGCCGCAATTGCCGGTTAGAGGTAATTATGCATCTGGTGAAGAGTAGGGTAGGTTAGCTCTCAGAAGGGGATAGAAAAAAAGGATATATGTGCCTTGTTTAAAAGTGCATACATCCTTACAGAACGTTTTTCTTTGTATACAATACAGACGATAAAACATAAAAATAGAAAATGTATCATACCCTTTTTGAATGACCATACACATTGGTGATTTACATCCAAACATTTGGCACTCCTGAGCCTCCGGGCTGTAACCTGTAGCCAGTAACATCTCCAGGCATTCTATGTGTCCTCCATAGACTGCAGAGTACACAGGACTGACCTGACTCTTCCCAGTGTCACAAACACGATCAGTCACTGTTATCAGCATTTCCAGGATCCTGTAATCACATGGCAAAAAACATATGGCAATGATTTATGTTCAACAAAGCCCTAATGTTTTGTATAATTATACATTTAGTGCATATTCTGGAACATCTTCTGGCATATAAGAATTCTGGCCATTTTATAAACAGGGCAGGCCTAGGTTGGTAAAATGGAACTAAGCAAGAAACTACTGACAATTCACAGGAAGAAAAATATTAGGAAAGCAACATTTCTTTATATGCTGTGCACTATATATAACGTGTGTTGACATCTGACTATCACACGTATATGTGCTAGTTACCGTATATACTCCAGTATAAGCCGAGTTTTTCAGCCCATTTTTTGTGCTGAAAAATGCCCCCCCTCGGCTTATACTCGAGTCAGCGTCTCGAGCACTGAGGAAAGTGAGTACGCTGGTCAGGTTTCTTCTTACTTACCTCGCCGAGCGTCGCGTCACTGCTGCTCCGGTGGGCGGCGCTCCGAGCGGGGTCATCTGGCAGTCTCCTTACTCGAGTCAATATTTTTTCCCAGTTTTTTGTGGTAAAATTAGGTACCTCGGCTTATATTCGGGTCGGCTTATACTCGAGTATATACGGTATATGTCCCATTCCAAAACCATGGGAATAATATTACATCTAATGTATAGGTTCTATCACCACACCCTAGATCAGCTTTTCTCAACCTTCTTGCCTTTGTGGAATCCGTGAAAAAATGTTCAGGTCTCTGGGAACCCCTGAAATAATTTTCTGATCCAAAGTTCATGGTACCATAGAGCTGTTCATACGGGTTTTGTTGCCAGTGAGCACCACTAGCATTGGTGCTCAGCTGCAACAATAACAAAAAGAGATCTATTTATAAAACTTTTGCAAAGAGAACATTTTTGCCAAAAAGATTTGCAAAAAGATTTGCAGAGCAATATGGCCACTAGATGGTGCAAAGTAATTTCTTATGCTCCTTGGTTGTATCTAGTGGCTATTATAGGCGGTGAGTCCTGTATCAATACTATCTGCATTGGTCCTCAGCAGCAACACTAAGGGGTGTATTTATAAAACATTTGCAGAGCCATTTGCTATAACCTTTAAATATATATATAGATAGATAGATAGATAGATAGATAGATAGATAGATAGATAGATAGATAGATAGATAGATAGATAGATAGATAGGATAGATAGATAATCTCTCTATCTCTCTATCTATATATATTGTGGCAGTGCATGGCAATGCCGTGACGTAGCATGGCAACATTGGCACCCAGGACTCCCAGAATATAAACAATGTTATAAGGAAGCGCCTGGCTTTTCAGCAGTTTCATTATTAACCCTTTTACCTTCAACCAAAGGCAGTGGCATTACCAGATAATCCACATATCGAGCTGTCGGCTCTGCAATTAACCCTTGCATTGCTTTACTGTGACCCGTCATACCGGCACCACAATTACCATGGGGAATCTCTGGCTCCACACTCTTGAGCCCCTCTGAGATTTCCGAGGATATTTCTGTTGCACCCACCCTGGCAGCAAACCATGCATTTTACACTGCATATCACAACATGCATCTTTGACAATTTTTACCTTAGGGGTATTACCCTTCTCATTAGCAATACTCTTTTCAATATATGCAAATGCATTTTTAACTCTTGCCTCCCCACTATATAACACATTATACAGAGGCAAGTTTCTCTCTACAGCGGGTCTCCCAACTGGGTTCACTCCCACTTCACCATGAACAGAGTCATATTCAGTCTCTTTCTTGACTGTATTACCAGTCCCAGCAAACAAATCATTGAAAACAGTCTTACCAACCCTTGCAGGCGCCATGGCTGTCTTCACTTGACTTCCCACACACTACAAGGGTTAAGTGTTCATTTTGGTCTACGGTCTAAATTCATTTCCACTCGCCCCCACGCAATTTTCACTCGCAATTTGCGAGGGGGCGGGTGGAAATTTTGAGCCCTGGTCTAAAATAACAAAGATATAAACAAAATAACATAAAAATATAGTCCCACCAAGATGCTAGACCGGTCCTTGCAGCCTCTTCTTTCCCTCCGCTCTGGTCGTCTAAGGATCCGTGAGTCATCACGTCTAATACAGACATGAGGCTGCCGAGGGCCGTTTCATTGGCAGAGTAGAGGGGGGCCGGTCTAGAAGCCAGGCGGGACCAAGATTTGAGTGAGTATATATTTTTATTTTAGATCCTAGACGAAAAGGAGAACATACCCCTTGCAGTGTTGGGGAAGTGTATTATTCTGCCCGAAGTTACAGGTGGCTGTATTATTTTATTTTTTTAGTTCAAAATAAGAGAGGACGAAGCACCTCATGCATTACCAATGGCAGGCCTCGCTCCTGGCTCCAACAGCGACGCCCTTGTTGCTGGCAACCACCTTCTCTGGGCAGAGGGGGTGTCTGCTTCTGGGTGTGAATAACTAAGCAACTGGTTTCAGAGGCTATCCTTTTTTCTCAAGCTGCATTTACACTATAGGGATCCCTATAGCGTACCACAAGAATCTATATTGGGAGAGATCTTTTATGAGCGTTTGCCGCTCGTCAGCACAGGGCAGCCTATTCATTTCAATAGGCGGCCCTAAGCGTGACAAACATGGCAAAGACGCTCATGCAGCCATTTGAGCTGTGAGCTTCATGCATTTTTCAACTGTGTGTTTTCATGCCTTTGTTTTGTCTGACTAGTTTGGGGTGCCATTAATAAGTAATGTTTCCGCAAGCACGTTATGTGTTTTTCAGTGTTGTGTGATGAACGGCAAAGTGTAAAAGCAAAGCACATCTAAAATACAAACACTATCATTTTGTTATTGCTTTAATTATTATTCAATACCCTTTCATTATAATCTCCCTTGTTTTGCCCCAATCTGTCTCGTCTGTGATACACCTAAATGTATTTTGTAGATCCCTTTGCCAAAAATGAAAATGCTTCCATCATTAAATACCTATTAACATGGTGCGACACTTGTGCCCGTTACAACACCCCGAATGATTCAGATCTATTAAAAAATATTTAGCCAGAATGTAGTAGAAATTATAGTTTTACAGGAAACAATCAAAATTTCTAATTACCTTATGTGATTGCTAAACTCTTTAATTAAACCCAAATATCAGACAACTTACTTGCTGCGGCCCATTTGTGCAGCTGCGTGTATTGGCAGCTGCCAGGCCTCGTCATTGCAGTAGAGGTTTGGATCGGCTCCCTTGCTCAGTAACAGCTCTGTGCATTTCTCATGGCCTTCCTGAGCGGCGATGAATAATGGAGTTGCCTTGTCCTTGGCTTGGCAGTTGACATCAGCACCTGACACATAATAGAGCTTTTAATAGAAAGGCATTTGCAAATCTTTGGAAAATTAGCTCGATGAACAAATATTGCCATTTTAATGAGGCAGCCACTCTAAGCATATGGCAACATCAAATTTTTTTTTCCTAACTTAAAGCAGATTCGCATTAGTTTAGTTACTAAACGGCAGAAACTAAGAACATACATACCAATCAAATATGTAATTAAAGGGCTAGCTTAATGAAATGCAGCTTTATGCAGGAGAGCTGCTAAAAATCTATTCACAAATATACAGCATATTGTCAGTTTTCTGCTGTAGAATCCCCAACTTGTACAAAACAAGGATACGTGTACCTTTTCTTCCATTACCGATATTTGTTAAAGAAATAAATAAAACATTTTTCATATATACTGGGGGTTTTGCTGTACATTGTGTCTCTGTGCATGAACCCTAAATAGACACATCTAGGAGGCACTGGGAGTTCAACAATTATTTACAAAGAGCAATGAATTAAAGTGACACTAAACTTAAAAATGTATTCAAGTACCTTAACTATTAACAAAAATGTATCTTATTTGTGTTTCCCTTGGCTGTAGATCCTCAAATCATCTCTGAATTCATACTGACACTGTCCTTCCTTCTGGAGGGTGACTACTATTGTTCCCCATGGTCCTTGTGTGTGTTGTAAAGTAGCCACCGCTCAAAGCTTGCTCCCATGATGAACTATAACTTTAATACAAATCAGTAGACTACGCATGAGATTGTAGTCCGTCACAGAAAAGAACTTGGAGCGGTGGCTACTTTACAACACACACAGGGACCATGGGCACACACAGGGACCATGGGGAACAAAAGTAGCCACTGTCTAGAAGGAAGGACAGTGTCAGCACCAATTCAGAGATGATTTGAGCATCTACAGACGAGTTATACACAAATAAAGTACAGTTTTGTTAATAGTTGTGGTACTTGTATGCATTTTTAAAATCTAACTCCTGGGATTAGTGTCACTGTAAGATAATCTTTCGGAGAGCTCACTGCCTTTGGTTAGGTAACTCACATAAAACGGGGATAGCCTCCAATGGGTACCTAAAACGTCATGCACACAGGAGTATTAAAATACACTCATCGACCAGCCAGAATCTGGCAGAAAATATCCAGCATTAAAAAACAAAATGTGTGTTCTGGCATGTAATTACTTGCATACATGTGGCGTTTACAAGTGTTTGCACGTAAACTCACTGTATTGGCTTATTCCAGCCACTAGAATAAATTTACGTGCAAATGCGCGTGCTCCTTTTTAAATGGAGGTTTGGGGAATTTTTTATGTCAATGAATGCTGCTCTAAAATATGGATCTAAAAACACCACAATGTGCATGGCCACATTGGTTGAATTAGAGCTGCATTCAGAGACATTAAAAAAAATGCCTCTAAAAGTGGGGTGTTTTCTACCGTGTACATGAGGCTTAAAACATAAAACCACAGAAGGAGCACTAGACCAAATAGTAAAAAAAAAAAAGTCCAACTCAGTTTATTAGTTTGCAAATAAATAAGCCAACATGTTCGGGGGGCTAAGATACTCCCTTTTTATCAGGGCTCTATGTAAAGTCATAATTAAACATCCATGACAATCCTGCTATTATCATTGAAAGAACAACAAAAAAATGGCTTTTTTTTTTTTAATTCCCTACATACTTTTTCCAAACTTATTTGTGCAGCAGTCACAGGACCACAGTAGCATAGCTACTGAGCAAGGACCGCGGGGAGTCGTCACTCATGACAGGGCTGTGCAACGGGTGGGGGGGGTGTGATCACTTATGGCAGGGCTGTGCCACAGGTGCGGTCACTCATCCCAGGGCTGTGCAACAGGTAGGGGGTGCGGTCACTTATGGCAGGGCTGTGCAACGGGTGAAGGCGTGATCACTATCTGCAGGGCTGTGTAATGGGTCATGGGTGCAGTCACTCTCAGCAGGGCTGTGCAATGGGTGGAGGCGTGGTTACTCTTGGCAGGGCTAACTATGGGTTAAGGACGTGGTGACCCTCGACAGGGATGTGCAATGGGTAGGAGATGTAGTCACTCTTAGCAGCACAGTGCAATGGGTG